CCTCTATATACCTACTGACCCTGAATGCAATTGATAAATCATTAAAACATTAGTTCAGTCCACCTCTTTGCAATATTATCACTTTGAACCTGGCTCTTGTTGAAATTCCCTGTGGTTTCTATAACATTTTTCATATATATGTGATATGTGTGGTGTGTTTGTGTATATACATATATATCCCTTCTACCCCAGTACTAGGAATTGAATGAAGGTGCACTTTTTGAGACAGGATCTCTCTAAATTAGAGATTGGCCTTGAACTTGGGTTTCTCCTGCCTTAGCCTCCCAAGTCATTGGGATTACAGGCATGTACCACACAACTGGCTCTTCCTCCTATATTATATGCTATTTCTATTCTATATTTATTTTCCTTAAGGAAAAAAAATGAATTATCTATGTAACCAAAAGTTCAAAGTGGCAATTGTTTTAGCCATAGTTGCCCAATAGAAAAAAGATGTGAGGCACATAACTAGGGCCTGAAATAACGCCATCAGGACTTTGTATTCTTTCTTGCATCATTGGCTTGCTTTTTTTTTTTTTCCCCCTATTTGGACAGATCTTAAGACAGATTCTCTGGTAGTCAAGGTATTGGCAATACCTAATTCAAATCCTTGATTCTTCATAAGCCTAGGAGAAAATAAATAAATAGAGTGTACTTAGGAATTCTAGAAAAGGAATCTTTCTAACCCAGAACTAATCCAAAAGCAGGAGTTACTGTGTTAAATTCAGGCTGGGCACTATGTCTATATTCCCCCTAGGTCTATATCTACCAGCTCTTTTTAAATTTTCCTGCAGCATTCATGTGCGACCAACCATTGAATCATGCTGAGTTAATCTTCTCAATAATTCTCAAACCTGTCCTTCGCTCTCCAACTATTGACCTAATTTAGATCCTCACCATCTTTTGCCAAACTACTATAATAGCCTTATGTCTAGACTCTCTGTCTGCAGTCATGCCTCCTTTGTAATCCTCCAAACATAGTGGGTGGGGGTGTGAGGATAGGGAAAAACACACACACACCCCTCAAATGCAACCAGTTCAATTCCTTGTTTAATAACATTGTTTCTCTACTAGGATAAAGTCAATAGTCCTTAGCTTGACATGCAGAGTACTCTAAGACCTTCCAAAACCATATACTGATTATCTTGTATGAGCAAACCCAAATCCTTTTGCTTTTCTTCAAAACCTGTTCCCAGTCTTGGTTAAATGTATCACTCAATCAAATACCAAAGATGAAATTTTAGTCATTTTCAACTTCCTATTCTCTCTCTCTTATGTGGGACATATAATCATTCTCCAGAAATTAGGTATGGAACCACCATTTGACCCAGCTATCCCTCTCCTCGGTCTATACCCAAAGGACTTAAAAAAGAATATTCTACAGGGACATAGTCCCATCAGTGTTTATAGTAGCACAATCACAATAACTAAACTGTGGAACCAACCTAGATGCCCTTCAATAAATGAATGGATAAAAAAAATTTTGGCTTTTTTCCCCATTTGAATATTACTCAGCAATAAAAGAGAATAAAATCATGGCATTTGCAGGTAAATGGATGGAGTTAGAGAAGAGAATGCTAAGTGAAGTTAGCCAACCCCAAATAACCAAATGTTGAATGTTTTCTTTGATATAAAGAGGCTGATTCATAATGGGTTAGGGAGCAGGAGCATGGGAGGAATAGATGAACTCTAGATAGGAGGGGAAGGGAGGAGGCATGGGGTTAGAAATAATGGTGGAACATGATAATCAATCATTATTATTCAAAGCAAATGTATGAAGACACAAATTGGTGTGAATATACTTTGTATACAACCAGAAATATGAAAATTGTGCTCTATTTGTGTAATAAGAATTGTAAGCATTCTGCTGTCATATATAAATAAAAGTAAATAAATAAACAAAATAATCATTCTCCAGGTCCTGTATTTCTACCTCCGAATTGTTCTCTGCTTCTTTCATTTCTATCACCCTGCCCTACCCAGGTCTTATCACATGCTTCCCCCTTACCAATCACCTGCATCCAGTCTCTGTACCTTCTTCCCAGCCTCCTACACACAGCCACCAGGGTAGCCTCTGAAATACAGGTCTTAGGAAGAAAACACGTGCACAGTGTGTTATCCACTGAATAATAAGTCCCAACCTCGTTGGCCCCTATCCCATATGTCCTGCCTCTCCACATCAGTGCAGGCTCTCCTCAAGCATGGCTTGAGCCAGGCACGCCATGTCCATGATGCCTGTATGCTTTGTTTCTGCCATTCTTTTTGCACAGAATGTTTTCCCACACAGCAATCTGTGGAAATCCTGTTCAGGGCCCTGTCCAAATACCTTTGCTTTTGTGAATCATCCCCAGATTTCCCTAGTCAGTCAAAAGTCATTTCTCTGTGCATCCATTAAAGTTTATCTACACCTATATTATAGTGATTACTACAGCCTGATTAAAACAGTGGTTACTTGTGCAACAATGTCAGTCCCAATAGATTGAAAGTTGCACTACTTAACTAATTCTGTAATTTTGAGAAGTATGTATTGAGTCATATTTTTTATTTTACATGAAAACATTACTACCCTTGTGGGGTTATTTGAAAACATGTAACAATATAGTGAAGAAATACCAGTTTCTGAAATATTGGACTTAATCTGATTGACAACCAGATTTGACAACTTTCTGAAAATACCACGTCATATCTCTGTCACATTTGGTTTATGGCATCAGACTGCCTGAATCTGAAGTCCCTTCTACCACTTACCAGCACAGCATGTGATCTTGGTCAAGTTCTTTGTCTTGTGTTTGTTTCTCCAACTGCAAAATGGGAATAAGTACCTACCAATTGGATTGTTATGAGGATCAAATAAAGATAACAAGAACTTATAGTTAATATGTAGCATATTGTAAGTGCTCTGTGTTATAATCACTATCTTGTATTCCCAAAACTGAACATAGAAACTAGGACATGGAACTGAGGATTTAACCCAAGTTGTTATGCACTCTTATATAAGCAATAATTCCCTCTCTTGTGATGGAGGCAAAATGGAATAGTAGCATTTCAAGTCTTACTAGTGGATCTAAATACTAACTAGGAGTGAGTTCAGGCAAGTTACTTTGATTCTTCCAGGTCTCAGCTATAAAGTAAATATAAATACTTGCCCATTCTTACCTTCTGCAGTTATTCTTCGGATCACATAATAGAGTTGTCAGAAGAAAAGCATTCCTATACATGCTGAAGCAGAATTGTCGTCACAATATTCATGTTAGTCAAACTCTTTCAGGTGAACCATGTTCTGTATTATTAACGCCTGATAGAAAATTGGAGGAACTGCACCCCCTGCTGTTGCAATGTGAATACATAAGGTGGTTGGTTAAATGAAAAGGAACTCTGCTAGAAACAATGCCTCTTTATAATGAAGGTACACATTTAAAAATCTTCAGAGGGAACAACTCAAGGCAAATGGGAGCATGACTTGATCCATCCAGATAAAAGCAAATTAAACTAATCCTTACTAGAGGATTTCTTGGTATTAAAACTGATCTGCTTGTCTCACTTAGATTACTTTACACTTCGTACTCTCCAAACCCCCAATGATTTTTGAGTTTCTGGACCCAATTTCTTCTACCTTCTCTTTGCTCTTATCCCAAGCAGGACACAAAGCTTATAACTGCTATACTAATAAATAATTAGTAGCTGAAATAGATTTCAGAAAGTGCTAGCTGACCCAGATTTTAACCCTTTAACTACCTGTTTCCAAGGGTGTAACAAAAGATTTGGGCACCCTATAAAATAAATGCCATGCACTTTTTTCTTTGGTGAATTAAGGGAAGGGGAACAGTGGTATTTACAACTGAAATTGTGATGTATAGAAAAGGTATAAAGTACTCATTAAGGTAAAAGAGACTTTAAACTAAATATTCTAAACAAAATGTTTCTCAGGTAGAAAGAATTTATTCTATTCATTTTTATATTTCTGGATCTTAGAATCCAATTGGTGTTTAGCCTGTTTGTTGAATTAAATCACCTTGATTTGGATCTCTAGGGACTGGGAGAAATGGTCTGCCTGCATCCTCAGTCCTGAAATCTGTCCTCAACCTAGGTCTCCCTGCAGACCCCACCCAGCCACTTCTATGAATCCAGCCTTCTTCTCTCCGCTCTGACACTCCCATATTATGTCTGTTCTTGGATTTGGGGCCATGAAAGTATGCAATTTCTAACTGCTAAGGTCCTGGAACGCATTACTATTATTTTTATTATCATTCTTTAATGCTGGGCAATTAAGTTACGAAAGATACAAAGTCCACTGTGACCAAGAATTCCTTTCCACCAAGACTTAGAAAACTTTCTGCCACACATTTCTGGAGATTAACTTTTTGAACCTTTACCACTTAGAATTTTTTAAAAAATTTTTAGTTTAAAGTAGAATCTGAGGAGTTTCCAAAAAATCAGTAATTTTCTCAACAATTCAGAATTCCAACTTACAATAAATCTTTTATTCTTTATTTTACACATCAGTATTTTACAGAAAAAAGAACCCCTTATTAAACTGCAATTACTTAAATGTCTTCTGATTCTTTTCAACACAGATACATACAAATTTATACAAATATGTAAATATATGTTCTAATTAACATTTTTTGATCTCAGTTTTGCATACAATTTTACATATATCAATATTAACTAATGGCTATATGTTTATGATAGCAACAACAATACACCAAAATTTTTCCATTTCTGAATTAATAGGCTTTTTTTCTTTTAAATTTGTATGAAAGGAACTGCTACAGGTAGCTTTTTCTTTCTTTCTTTCTTTTAAGTATTTTCCCAGGCATACATGTGGTATTCAAAGTGATCTGGTATATTTAAAAAAAAAAAAATCAGTTACAGAGCTCTTGTTAGTCTTGTTAGTTCTTTAAAATGACTACTAATATATAGTGCTATTGGTATAGACAAACACAAATTTAAAAGTTTTGCTTAATAGCAAGAACTAGGTCAAAGTCATTTAAATCTCCTTTTAAAATATTTAACTTGAACATCTTTCTAAAAATTTATTTTTACTTATATCTTCTCATTTGTAACCTATCCCTTACTAAATCTACCTAGTAAAGAGGACAAAGCCTTAAGGATTTCCATCTACTTTTAAAAACATTATTAAACCACTTATATAATGCAAACACCCTTTTTATTCCACCTTTTCTTTTTGTTCATTATAATTTTTCATCTTTTTATTTGTTGATCTACCTTGTCAATATTTCTCATTGCCATGAAGTTCCTTGGCACCAATATTGGAATGAAAATTGTAATATTTTCGTTTTTACTTTTATAGTTAACATTTTAATTCAACTGGCATAAATTGCATTATCATATGATGTTAATCTATGTCCAAAATGAAACAACTAGTCTTTCTACCAATAGTTATTAAATACTTTCTGTCAGTGGCTATTAAATACCTCTGTTTATTCATATTAGCTAAGCTTTCTGCTCAGCATCACAGAATTTTTAGATAAGTCACTCAAAGGCATGCTTCAAAGACTTAAAAGGCAAAGCTCCCACTTTTTCTCGTAATTTAAAAACATCTTTACCTGTTTACTTGCCTAGGTAATTTCTTTCAATTCTGTCAAGTTACATGAAACATCCAGTAGGAATGTTAAATGGTATTAAAATAAATCTACATATCCATGTTATATATTGACATTCCTTTGGACAATAATTTCATGTTCACTAACTCAATCCTCACAATAATTATTAATTCTAATATAGGTGGTAAAATGGAAGCTAAAAGTGTTTTTCCCTGAGACAACTAATAAGATGTGATGCTAGGACTCCACATGTACAACTTTTCCATTATATCAGGATGTCTCTCATGAGAGTATGCACATATTTTAAATTTAGCTCCTTCAACCTGCTTCTATTTAAGCATTTTTCTTAAATTGTCTCAATATAGTTGCATAACATCCTTTATATGGTTCATATATATTAATACCCAAACACTGCAGTCACTGTTGGCATATAGAAATTAGATTTTTAACAATGATATATCCTGCAACTTTCTGAATTAGTCTCATTAATAGATTTATATGACAGTATAAGATTAGCTAGCTATAAAGCCATGTAAATAGAAAATAAAATTTGTGGTGTTTTCTTATCTTTCTTATTTTGTGAATTTCTTTTTCACAATGGCAAATTTCTTCAACCATATATAAAGAAAATGGTGCCAGCATAGTTTAATTTCAAACTGAGAAATATTTGTTTCCTCAATATGAATATTAATTATTAGTTTCAAGTAATTATCACACTAAAAAAATGAAATCATTACCAAAGATAATTAAAACAAAGATGAATGATAAATTTTTAAAGAGTTGAGACTACTAACTTTGGCAGTAGCTAATACTTTGAATTTTTTCCCATTTTATTCTACTTATGTTGATATAATGGCTGCTTTGCTGAACATCAGCCTTCTGAGTCACAATAAATAAAGACTTTTGTTGATGTATTATTGGACAACATTTTCCTTTTCATATTGCATTTGCTAAGAATGAGACCTTTTAAAGAATGTTTGAATTTTAATATTGAAGCCGTATGTACCTCAAAATGCAATTAATGTTAGTATATCATATTTTTTGATACACATTTTCCTTAAACATTTAAAAAAGTTAATAAATCCATTGGGTCAAATTCTAATTTATCAGAAAACTATACTAGATTATAATATCCTCTATATTTTTAAATGCTTTTTACAGTTTATAACTTGTCTTATTTCCAACTTGCTATTTTGTATTGATTTAAGAAAGTAAGATATTCATTGTTAGTTTTTTAAAACAATCTCTTTTGTGGCCTCATATAATACTTTTTATTTTTATTTCCATTATGTCTGTTGATACTGTATTTTGCAACTTTTCACTGTTATTTTTCTGTATTTCTCATGAATAACCTGTGATACTGAAAAACTTTAGTAAGTCTGAATTACTTTCACTTTCATTTTATTTATCTCACAATTTTATTCATTTTAATTAGTATTTTGTAGTAATTAGGCATTTCAACTTTTTGATAGGTTTAAACTTTAGTATCTACTTACTAATATACCACTTTACTGTATTTTAAAAGTCAATATTAATATCAGCCCATGATTTTTATACTTCCAGTATGCTGTCAATTACTTAAATCTGTCTTACTTAAATCTGTCAATTACTTAAATCTGTGATGAAGGACTGAATTAGAACATATTTTGGTCTACTAACATTTTTTAGAACTTCAGACCAAAAGATGTCACCAAAGAGCATTATTTTGTTAAACTTAAGTCGAATTCTGCTTCAATGAGATTCATAGCTCTAATACATTTAATTAATCTTATTCACATTTCTCTAACTTAACAATAAGCTGCAAGACCAGGGTCTGTCTACTTTTCTTGCCCAGCAACATTAGATTTTGATTTTCATGGGCACCTTTTCGTTCTCATTCTGTACCTATACGTTTCTAACAATGATTGCAGATGGAAAGATGAATGGTTTATGGAATCATGAAAGAATGGGTTCCAATACTGGCTCATCCACACATCAGAATGAGTAATGATTAATAACTGAGTCTCCATACTTCTTTGAAAATGTATGCAATAGTATCTGCCTTATATTATTGAGAAACTGTAGTGAGAAAGCACAGTATGCCCAGCACATAGTAAATGCTATTTTGAGAACAAACACGGTTATGAAATAGTTTGGGTTTCTATAGGATTATCATTCTCTCTGCCTAAGGATTGGAAATGGAATTAATCATGGAAATTCATCTCCTCTGACAGCTTCCCAAGCTTTCACCTTTATGAAGGCTGTTGTTACCTATTTGTGGGATGGGACACAACCATAGGGGCACAGTAAATCCTACTTTGACTCAGTATCTTGGTTACTATTGCTAATTAAAGTGACAGAGACAAAAAGGTGGTAGTTTCATCCTGAGAAAACTGGGATAAGAAAGTCTATTTAAGCAGAAAATTTTAAAATAATCTATAATCCTAGGTTAAAAGTGTCCCACTCAGTTTTTCCTTTGGATCCTTTTTAGGAATTTTGGAATGGTCATCCTGAAATATCTTTTTTCTGGGGTCATTTATCTTTTATTTTGGCCTGAGTTACTTGTTGAAGATCTTTTGTTTTAGATGTCAAAGCAAGGTTTTACAGATTTTTTTTTTAACTACTCTAACTTCTAAATTTCCTTGGAGTGTATCTCCCACAAATGAGCTCTTCAACTACAAACTCTTGACTCTTTAAAGTAGAAGGCTATAATGGTCTCACTGCCTCATGGGTTATAAGGGTCAAGTAGATAAATTCACCTGCAAAATGTATTGTTAACATCAGACTTAACAATTAGAAACAATTGTATTTTATCATATTGGTATTTGTACTATTGCTATTCCTACTACCAAGCCTACATGTTTATATTATTTACAAAAGACTCACAAAATTTATTATTTGTATGTGTTTCACTATTCAAGCAGAGGTGATAGCAATTTTAGTAGCTGCAATAGTAACTAGAGTATTTCTTAAATGATATTAATTATTCTATAGATAAAGAAAATTTAAAGACCAGCAGTAGGCACAATATTACTTTTCTTTAGCAAAGCTGCTAACATGGAATCCTCACACAATACCCAATATTAAAATAAAGCTAATCCTTTTTTGATATTCTGGATCATGGAGCCGATTCTGAAATTAAAAAAAAAAAAAAAAAAAGTCCAGTGACAAATAATAGGTTCACAAAGACACCCAGTGCCCAATGTCTCAAATCATGTTAAAGAAATCTGCATACCATTCTTTTATGTAGGAAGCTGTCCTTCAAATAATAATATATCGATTCCAGGATGAAGAGCATTTTGAGTTCTTTTCTAATTCTGAAGATGCTTCCCCGGGCTTTCCAAGTTTTGGCTTTCCTCGGGGGATTCAAGCTTGGCCATTATTACGTTGGTTCCAGGAGCTTCTGGTTGCTTATCATCACCATCAAAGATAATGTCTTCTGGATTTGGAGGAGGAGGACAGAATTCTTCACCAGGAAACATCTCCTGAAACAGAGTTTCTGCTTGTTTGACTGCATGCTCATTTCCCAGTCCACAGTCAGGCCCAGAGCAGACATAAACATTTGAAGGTAAGCCATCATAGGAGCTTCTGCTGATTCCCGAGGAATCTCTCATATTAAAATATAGAGCCCACAAAAGTCTTGGCTTTCTAAGTTCTTCTTTTTCTTCTTTTGTTTCAGTAAAAGGAGTGAATAATTTCTTCACCACGGATTCTAAGTCTTCTCTTGCTGTTTTTGAAGATGCACAGGTCAGATGTACTAGATACGTGTCTTTCATGCATGTCATGGTTGATGAACATAATTCCGTGACCCGAACAGAACAGGTTCCTGATTCCATTGGAGGCACTATCAAAATGGAAATCTGTTGATCTGACTCTGTCTTTAGTACAGACTGATCTGTAATGAGTATTGCCCTTGAGATCTGTTTATACTGCACATTGGAGCATGTTTCCTGAGAAAGGTAACTATCCTCCACAATAAAATATTTAGCATTTATTCTTTGACCCAAGTGATCTACAATTGCTTTACATCTACCAGATTCTTTGTCAACTACAAGGCATTGTACTTTATGGCGAAGACAATAGATTCCACCAAAAACAGCACACATCCTGCAAAAACACTGGGGAATTTCTCCTTGGCCATATAAGGGAAATAAAAACGGAGTGTTGCCAAACCGTCCAAGACACTGAAGGAAGTTTTTTGTTGCTTTAAGGCCATCTAATGTGCTACATGATGATTCTGATGTCATTGCAATTGAGTGTAGTATAAAGTGTTGGAGGCTGGGGGTTAACTTTTTAGTTTTTAAGAACTCTGAAAATGAACATTGCTTGAAATCTTGGTATTCATCAGGTTGTTGTTCATAGTCTAAACAAAAGGTAAGAAATTTCATCAGCATCCTTTTTTCAACCATAGTGAGTTCTTTGCTATTAAACACATCTGCTCTGGAGCAAGGCACCTGTTCTACCTTTCCTTCCCGAAATGCAAGAATCCTAGTTACATTTTTAAATTCTGCATAACGACTAACATTTGATTTGATTAAAAGATCAATCAGTGATCCTTGGGAATATAGCAGCTTTGATACCAAATCAATATTAAATCTCCTGCCTTCTTCAACTATTAGAGGATAAGTAATCCTATTTCTCTTTGGCTGATCAATGTTATCTTCTATTGTAGGTTTGTTTTCACCTTTACTCCCACCTGAAATTGTGTGTATACAAGTTTTATCTTTCTCTAATGATTCTTGTATATCAGTTACTTCTAGTGAAATATCTTTATCACTTTTTTGGGTATGTTGGGCAGATATTTCAGAGCTAGTGAAGTATGAGGAGTCCCTTTCTTTGGGCAAGCACGCAGAATCCACAGATTCAATGAGGGTACTAGATGTCATTGAGGAGGGACTTTTCTGAAGAGCACCGATCTCTTGAACATTGTGCTCTTTATCTTGACTGGCATAGCAAAAAACTTCTATGTGTTGAATGGTTTCATCCTTCTTGCAAAGAGTGATGCCTTCCTCTGTTTCATGAATCAAGTCTTCCCAGGCAGTATTTTCTTCCTCAGTATCTCTGTTTTGCTGATACTCCTGCAACCAGGATAGCAATCCTGAAAAACTGAAACTAGCCCAATTCCCTCCATAGTAGCTTCTTGAATCAATATGTAGAACCCTCTGTCCACTTCTTGAGCATGCAGCAGCAAGGATGGATTCAGGCAGACCTGTTCCTATTATAATCACATCAAACTCTGTGGGGAGAATGTCTGCCATTCTAGGAGGCAAAGTGTCTTGTGACAGCTGCTGATGAAGGAAATGTGTATAAATCTAGGCTGAGGGCTCTGCTGAGGTCTGCTTATGCATAATAAAATCTCTCCTTGTGATGTTCCAGTTAATCCCAGAAGCATTGGGTTTGCAGGTCCTAGTTGTTTAACTGTTTCCCTTTTTTAATGTATTTCTTTTATTAGCCAGTAGCATAAAACCATGATAAAGTACATCTAATCACATCTGAGAATATTAAAACGGACGTGTGGTTTTCATTTCTGCATTTCGGCTTAGCAGTAAATGTCAAAATGCATCACATATGCATTTGTGACTGGAACTCTTCTCTGAAAGAAGAAAATTTAAGAAAGAATACAACTGTAAACAAATAAGAGAAGTAATTTCATGCAATACCAATTATAATCTACTGGAACCTGACTTAATATCTGGATACAAAACTCTACTAAAGCGAGTCATCAAATGCTTTCTCACATATTTTCTACTTTCTTGAAAATGAACAATACAGGCATATCCCCCTCCCCAAAATAACCAGAATAATAAAGAATGAAAACAGTGGCCCACAAAAACAAAAAAGAATTAGCATAACTTAATTTTGGCTTTTAAGAAACCACCTGAATAAAACTATATACAGCTGTGAGCTTAGACTAAATGAAACGTGTGGCTTCACTGTGCTTATGGAAACAGATCATGTTCTATACAAATACTGTCACAATTAGGAATATTTCTGTGCCCAAGAATCTACAGGTGATTTTGGTAAAGCCAAGCATAAGACTTTTTCTTGCCCCAACCACCCTTAGAATCTTGTGATAGCAACAAGCAACTATTTTGACTGAGTTATTAACCAGTCAGATTACTACATAAAAATTAATTCAATAAAACAGCTGGCATTTAAAAATATTTAGGCACAAAAGAACAGACTGAGGGGAAAAATGTACATATAATCAGTCTTTATATGAACGTACATATGCATGTGTGTATTTTATAATTTAAAAAAATCCTAGTTTCACATATTAAAATATCTTAACATAAATATCACCCATTTCTAACATTTGAATAAAATAATGGTTTGCATTTTTGCCAAACTCTAACCCTGAATCTCTGTGTCCCAAGAAAAAAGGTTTTTCTAAACATCCTCAGCTGAGGATAACAATAATATGTTATGTATTTAATTTTGAAGGTGTGGTGCAGGAAGTCTCCCCATTAACCTCCAGCATGATGCTGGTTATAGTCTATCTGTAGAGCAAATGTTTGATGCTAGGTGTGGCCAGAAGTGGCATAGCAACGGCCTAAAGACATACTCACCTGGAAGTCTTCAGGTTAAAGATATACCCTACAGTGCTCTTTTCTATCCATCCTGGTATAGTAGCAGTGAAAGTTCTTAGACCTTTAATTTTTACTACTATTAATTCTATCTAAATCTAGACTGGCACAAGCTGGACCTGCCAAGACCAGAAGGACTGATTATTATTATGGATACTGGTTAAAAAAAAAAAGCCATTCAATCAGAACTTAGATTAAATTGACTAGGTTACTGACCCATTGCTCAGTTTAACTGAAATGGTGATCCTAGCAGTCCTATTTAGTCAAAAGTTTCTGCCTCAAGAACATCAGATTTCACTTATATTCAGAATTCTCTGAGAAACAGGATCTGACAAAATAAAACAACTGCCTGATATATTCATGCATGCATATATATACCTGATTTACTCTAGTAAAAATATACTGATTTGCTTATTTGGTCTTCTTCTAGTGGGTTGTAAAGAGTAAGACAGAACCTATGGGGGTACTGAAGAATAACAACCATGGTATGTGCTTATTCGTGGCTTAGAAGGGAATAGGGCTGAGAGTAGGAGATGAGAATACAAGACATTAGCACCAATACCCAGCACCATCTAAACTACACATATCAAAGGAATCCTCAAAATACAAAGTAAGAGGATGATCTTAAAGAACATTAAGCTCAATTACTCCATAATAAAAATGAAAAAACTGATGGCAGGGGAGACTTGAGAAAGCCCACAGGATCAAAAGCAGGACCCATCTTTTTACCCTAAGGCCGGTGAATTTCCCACTGGATGGGAAAGTCTCTCCAAACCCTAAGGAACAAGCAGCTACTTACTTCTGGTATTTTTAAATTCCCTCTCCCTTCAAAACTTCATGGTCGATTAGTTCTTGCTCAGGGTAACAACAAGGGAAAACTTTCATCTGTAATCCTAATCTAGAAGCACACTTCAGGCAAAGAAATTCTTAATCTTTACTAAGAACTTTTAAAACCCCACAGTAATCTCACTCTTGTTTCCAGTGTTTAAGTCTGACTCTTTAATCTCAGAGCGTCCACCTCTAATTCTAAAATGAGGATATCATGGTTGAAAGCACTAACTAAACACCTTGAGAAGTAGAGCAGCCATCAGGTAAAATATTATGTGGCGAATGTTTCTAGCATCTTAGAAAAATCACTTCTGATTGATATGTGACCTGATCAGGAATGGTAAAAGAGAAAAAAGAGGCATACAAGAGTGTGGGGGCCAGCAAAGAAAATGGGTGAGGAAGCACAAATTAAAAACAAAAACAACCACCACAACAAAAAAACTAGATACATCCTTGTTTTCAAACTCCTTTGTGCACAATTTTCCAGCACAGAAAAGGCACTTCATGGAAATAAGAATTTTCATTTGTGTGAACCAACAACCGTTGCCCACCTTGGGGAGCTTTACTGATACCTTAAGCTTAGGCTTGAATCACCTTCTTCAAAGTTCAGTGGGGCCTACAAAACTGCCCAATAGATATCTTTAATTAACATAAAGAGTGTAATCACAGAGTCATCTGTACATTTACAGTCCCTTCTGCAAGCTTCAAATTTTTGCATTAAGGAAATTCTCAGATTAATCCTTATTGGGGAGGAAGAGAATACTAAAATCATTGAGGCAATCAAATAAATGAAATCACGACTTCTCTGACATTTTCTTGTTTCTTTTGAAATATTAAGAAAATTAACCATGAAAAATAGCATAATATTTGGGTTTGCCACTGCATAGAGGGTTGGTGAATAAGAAAATATTTGTAATGGTGTTATAAAGACTTTTGATCTCTAATATCTGCCAAGATAATAGTAGTAATAAATCATCAATGGATTTCAAGACTTAGAAAAGAAACTTCAAGACCTCAAAAATACACATTTCTATTTCAACTCTTTGTACAAATGAAATTCCTGGAACACACAAAGTAAGTTCTTTCCTAAGCTTAGAATATGTCTTGAATCATATACTGGGGTTGGGCATCCTTCAAAATGTCATCTCAATGAGACCTAAAAATCTTCCATAAGGATTAGGAATACTGTACAAATAAATCTTCAATCAATTGTCAAGTTCCACCTTTAATGAAATATATTGGCTACATAGCTAATTATTTGTTCACCTGTTTTGGGATTCTCTGAGCCGTTGATTTTGGTATGATGGAAAGTATAAAGGAGGAAAAATACAATATAAAATACCTGATAGGACACATGCCAATCTGCATTCTAAGAACCTGAATGAAACTTTCTCATTCCTTAGAAAACAAAGGTTTACAACTGCTAATGAGCAAAAGAAAAAATAATAGAAGCTGCCACAATTTTAGGTCGTTACTTCTCATTTTAGGAAAAAAAACAATATATGAATTAAATGTCTTGTCTCTTCCTCCAACTTTCATGAGATAAGCCTTTTTTTCCCTCTTGGATCTCTTGACTCTACAGGCCCTCGTTTCCTCAAAATGTAAAACGTTGTGGTGAAATAAATGCCCTGTTGAGTTTTATCAAGAGGTGAAAACAGAGACCTGAGATGAAAGATGAGCTTGCCTGAAGCCAGAGACTTTATGCAAGGGCTGGAGCCTGAAAGAGCAGCTCAGGATGAAGCCGCTTTAGGGTCAGAGAGCGGGGGAAGAGGCGGGCCACGAGAGCGAAGTCGCGGCAGCGCGGGTGGAGGAGACTAGGGAAGGTGGCAGACACACCATGCACTGGGGGTCGCGGGGGGCGGCAGAAGGGGTGGTGAGGCTCTGCAGCCGTGCAGGAGCGAGGGAAGCCAAGCAGGAGGGAAGTGTCAGTGCTGGGAGTGGGGAGCTGAGGCGAGGATGCTTCCTCCTCGTGGTCCAACTCACCGAAGAGGCTGCTGCTGAACCCGTCCCACACGCAGCCCACGGTGTCCCACACCCAGCGGTTCCTTAGGCAGGACACGAAGGTAAAGGTGACCCCGAAGAGGGACATCAGCAGGTCGCCGAGGCTGATGTTGACTAGGAAGAGGTGAGTGGGTGTGCGGAGCCGCTGGAACTTGTAGTAGAGGACGAGCACCAGCAGGTTGCTGCCAGCGCCCAGCAGCCCCACGGAGCCGAACAGCAGAGCCAGGCGCTCATAAGTGCCGGGACTGAAGAGCGGTGTGGGGCTCAGCGTCCCCTCTGGCGCCGACCCCTCGGCGCCCGCAGGCCCGTCGCCCTCCCAGGAGCCCTGGCTGCCGCTGCGGTTCCCCGAGTACATGGCCCGGCGCCGGCGCGCTCGGCAGTCGGAGGCGCTCAGCGTCCGGGTGGGGCCGGGACACGGCAGTCGGCTTTGGCCATTGCGCCGAAGGCTGCGCCCAGCGCGCGCTAAGGCACGCCCTCCCCGCCCCTTCCGCCCGGCGCCCCTCCTAGCCCCGCCCCCAAAAGCGCGCCCCGCCCCTGGCGCGCACTCGTAGCCTCGCCCTCCTGCGGCGTGTCCTCGTAGTCCCGCCTCTACTCTCTGGTCCCCCCTTCACTCCTGCCCCCGCGTGGACGCGCATGGTAGGTGAGTCTGGAGGACTCGAAGGAGCACAGGGAAGCAAATCAACCTCATTCAATGGTTCTGCACATTCCCATCTCCCCGCGCGCATTCAGCTTAAAAACATCATGTCCTCTCACCCATTCACTCACATACTTATGCATTCATTCATTCATAAATATTTATGAACGCCTCCATCTACCACGTGCCTGCAAAAGGTTTGGATTAAGTACATCCACTCTAGGCTTCCCTCCCCCACCACCCCTCCCTTCCACACCCCCCCCCATGAAAGCAAAAGAAAACAAAATGTTGAAAAGATTGGTAAACGGTACCAGCCAAACAATCTTACAAATTGGGAAACTGAGGAAGGAAAAAAACCGTTAAACTGATAGATAAATTGACAAATTTAACTGCCTGAGTGCTGGAGGACATATTCAAGGACTTTAAAGAATGTGCTGCAATGGCGAGAGATAGGAAGAGAGAATCATGATAAAGAAGGAAATGGCATTAAAGTGAGACTGAGCTTAAGCACCAGGCTGTACCCCAAAACCTTTCTGTCCTGATATAAGTAGTGTAGCTGAAGCCCTTAAGTGAAGGTGACTGCCTGGGCTGTGCCCCATAGCTTCAACCTAAATCTAGCAGGTATAGAAAAGTAAGTGCTATATTTAGAACAGGACACATTTTCCACTGGGCCTTTTCCCTGGTAGCAATGAAAATATAGTACATTTCAAATATAGATTGTGAACATGGTTACACTCTTCAAGAGCTGCTTTTGCCTCTATTCCTGCAGGGTCTCTAACAAGACCTCACAGGAGGATGCACCCCACAGCCACACCCACAGGCTATCCTGGGCCCTGGTAAGTAGGCTGAGTTTGTAGAAGGGAAAGTAATTGCTCTACATGGAAGTGTTTATCCCTCTAGCTTCAAAAGATGAGTCAAGAATGGCTAGCTTCAAGGAATTCCTGTTCCAAATTTCCTAGAAATAGAATCTAATCTTCTGGATGGTCAGCTCTCCACCCTGGTGTGTTGAGCAACAGTCAAGGGGCGGTGTGCTCTGTCCTCTGACCTTGATTTTCCTTTAAGGGTTCTAAACTGGACTTTCCATTTATGAGATTATCTAGCGCACCCACCCTTTAAAACTTTTTAATTTTATATTTCAATTTTATTATTTTATATTTTAGAACCTATTCAGTTCTGTTTAAAATCCACTGTGTTTTCACCTTAGTGCCTTTTCTACTGTAAGTTCACAATAAATATTAGTTGAATGAATGAAAAAAGGACACACTATATTTTTTTTTCTAAAGCATTCCTTCTTTGGTGCTGAATCCCTCCCTCAAAAAGCTTGCATTCCAGTGTTTGTTTAGAAAGTAGATGATAATCAAATTAGTACATATGTAGGATATCATATGCTAAATGCCATAAAGAATTATTAAGCAGAGAAAGGGTATGGAAGAGGGAGGAACCTGGTTATTATTTAGACACGGTGATTACAGATAGTACTTTAGGTGCAGGATACATGTACTGAAGTGGGCCTGTGCTGGTGTATTTAAAGAACAACAATAAAGCTGAAGCCAGATTCACAGATAGGTAGTTAGTGTAGTTAGGTAAATAGGGTCTAAAATCGAGTAAGATAAATAAAATGGAGGCCATTATTGAGAATGGAGTCCAGGAAACAAGAGCAGCACTTGGGGAAATTGAAACGTGAATGTCCCCAAGGTCTGGAGCCCATCCTAAGGAAATGTTAATGAAGCAGCTCCCAGCAAACAGGGAGATGCTAATCTAAAAGCCAGGCCCTTCCTGACCAGATTATTCCTTCAGCCCACTTAGCCCCTATCTTTTGGGCCTTCCCATCTGCATTCTATCATTGTAAAATAACAGAAAACAAAGGACAGGGGTGTGGGAAAGCTGAAAGAAGACTTTAGCTATAAAAAAGGGAAGACCTCCCCCTTCCACGGATTCTGCCTTTTGGGCCCCCTTCTTCCTCCAGGAGGAAGTCTTTTCTGCTGTCCTTTAATAAAGCCTTCCACTTTCCACTCTAAACTTGCCTCGGCATGCTTCTCTGGTGTTATACTTCAGCATTCGGGGAAGCAAGGACTCCTCACTGGTAAACAGTGGTAACAAAGCCAATGTGAGTGGGGCAGAATGAAACTAGGAAATGTTAAGACTGGAAGACACTGCACCACATGACACAGATCACCAAAGAGGTTCCACTTTATTACCAAAGACTGTGTGTTTATATAGGTCTAAGGAGAGTCGCAGGGCTGAGGTAGATAACAGGTCGCCTGTTTATTGGCAAGCTCTTCCATATGTCAGTTCTGGAGCCCAAGAAGTTAATTCTAATTGGGGCTAAGGCTTCCCACCAGCAGGATTTGAACATTGGTGCCAGAGGGAACCTTTCGCGCCAGTGAAAGAAACAAAGAGGAGAAAGAGGGTCGTTAGATGCCATGCTGGGGTTTTTCTCTGGGGTGCTGCTGCTGCCGTTATATGTTTTCCCAACAGGAAATGGGGGCAGAGAGGTGGGTGAGCACTGATTGGCCTGATCATTGCCGAGTCTTGGCTATTGTAATAAAAGGACTTTGGGTTTTATTTTATACAGAATAAAGCCCACGGAAATACCATGTTTTAGTCAGCTTTTTCACTGCTGTGACCAAAGAGCAACAAGAACAATTTTAGAGGAGGAAAGTTTATCTGGGGGTTCATAGTTTCAGAGGTCTTAGTCCATAGGCAATTGGCTCCATTCCTCTGAGTTTGAGGTGAAGCAGAACATCATGGCAGAAGAGTGTGGTGAAGGAAAGTGGCTCAGGGCATCACATCAGGAAGCAGAGAGAGAGAGAGAGACTCTACTCACCAGATACAAAATATATACTCCAAAGGCATGAACCCAATGACCTACCTCTTCCAGCTATACCCTACCTGCCTTCAGTTATCACTCAGATAATCATTGTGATTACCACGCCCCCCCCCCTTTGCCTTACAAGTTCTGCTCCCTCACATGTTGAAGTATAACATTAGAGAAGTATGCCAAAGCAAGCATATAAATAACATGCAGGGTTTATTTAAAAAGAGGTAACATAGATTTCTCCCAGGAGGGAGAAGGGGGCCATAGCTGGTATCCCAAGAAGCAAGGATGTTCTGCCTCTCTTATAGGTCTTAGGCTTCCTTTGTTCTCCTGCTCTCTTCCCCTTATCTCCTTCCTGCATAGAGATGCTCTGTGGGATGGCCAAAAGGTAAGAAGCAGGTGGACTGGATAAGGGCTGGATACTTTTACAACTCCCTGTAGCTGGGGGGCAGGGGCAATTCCTGGAACAGGTTACTTTAGTAGGTTATCTTGATAGGGTGGAGGAAAGACTCTGAAGTCTTTTCAGTCCCTCAGGGGGCAGTCTCCAACTTCCTGGACTTACTCAAATTGGCTTCCTTGATCCGCCATGACTCAGTTTACCTATCTATACTGATTGCCTGTCTAATTCTGGCTTCATTTATCAGGGATTAGTACATTGATTGGGTCAAGGCTTTCCTAACCCAATCATTTCACCTCTAAGCCCTCTTGTACTGTCTCTCACACATGAGCTTTTGGGGACACCTAACATCTAAACCATACACTATGCAAGAGAAATAATAGCAGTGAATGAAAAGGAAGAGTAAGAGCCTTTGGCAAATGTTTAAAGAATGTTGATTCTGTTATTTTTTACAGTACTGAACTTGACATAAATAGGCAAGATATCACACCTACAATTTTCTTTGTTAAACATAAAAATGTTTCTTTGTCAATTTCTGAATTATGTATTGATGGAATAATGACCAAGTATTACCACTTAAAAGTAAGCACAGTACTAGAATAAGAATAAACACAATGATCTGTTATAGTTAAAGCTTCGTCCTGGGTTTCATAAACTGACTTCCAGATCACTCACGTATAATCGAATCAAGACTTTATTGAAGCACACTGGTGGCGGCTGACCAGAACATAAAGCTGTTCCCCTGATCAGCCCCGAATAATAGCAAGGACACTCCTTATAAGCCTGAAAACTGCAAAAGGGATGGGCCAGTGTGGGATACTTTACTCAGAGTCTAGCCAATGCAAGCAAGCCAGGAACAGAAGCGGGACAGTACAATCAAGCGGAGAGAAGTCTAACCAATTACAGTTAGCCCAGTCACCCCAGTTACAGAAACAATGTCCCATTAGGTAGTTCTGTGTTCTTTAAGGTTTCTATAGCAAAAGGAAAAGAACATCTTGCCCCAGTCAAGGGGCAAGATGTTCTTTTCCTTCTACTTGGCATGGTTGTTTTACAGGATGAAGTCATAAAACAAAATGGAGTCACATTTGCTCCTACTATCACAATCAATGGTATAAAGAGCCAAGATATGAACTCTCAAATATATGGTCAATTGATTTTCAACAAGGATGCTGATAGGAAAAAAATAGTCTTCAATGAATGTTGGAGAAACTATATATCGATACACCAAAGAATGAAGTTGGACCCTATGTCATATACAAAATTAACTCAAAATGGATCAGAGAAATAACACATGGATCAAAGACTCAAACAGATTATTTGTACAGCAGTGTTCATAGATATACTATTTGTGATGGCCTAAATAACCCAAATGTCCATCAATGGATAAATGATAAACAAAATGTGAGACACACATACAATGGAATGTTATTTAGCAACAGAAAGGAATAAAATTCTAGAACATGCAACAACATGGATGGACTTTTAAAATGTTATGCTTAAATGAAATAAATCAGACACAAAGGACAAATATGATATGATTCCACTTATATAACATACCTAAAATAGGCAATCATAGAGACAGAAAGTAGCATGGTGGTTTCCAGTGACAGGGAGTTAGAGGGAATGGGAAATTTACTAGG